AGTCCACATCTCTGGAAAAAAAAAAAAGAGAGAAGGAAAGAGGGGTGGAAGACCATGGCTTTGTCACTGGGATCCCAAGCACAGACACCGTATCCTGTAGTTGATAGGGTATGGAGCCCAGACTCAGAGCAGGTAATGCGTACATGGACCAAAAGGAGAGAAAAGATCTGACTCCTTGGGATGAGAAATAGTGTTAAAAAGAGATGTAGAATAAGTTCATTCCCTTTTGCCAGTATTTGTACCCTTCAGATTCCACTTTCTCTTTCAGGTTCTCACACTAAGGAGACATTCTGATGTTCGCACATGTGCGTCTGATTTAGTTCTGTACCACTTGTAACTTTTCTGTTTCAATACTATTTTATACTCTATAAAACAAAATAAAGAGATGTAGAACATAGAAAAAAAAGATATACTTGTTGAATCAAGAAATAGCAGAGAGGGCTGGTAAGATGGTTCAGCGGTCTAAAGCACCTACTTAGAACAAGCGAAGTTAAGCAAAACCACAGGGACCTGGGTTCAATCCCCAGCACCACATGCCAGCCAGCCCCGCCCCCTGGTGGGCTGAGCTGGCCACACACACACAAAATGAATAAATAAATAAATTAATTAATTAAAAAAAAGAAATAGCAGAGAAGTTTCCTACTTAGAAAAAAATACTACAGCCAATGTCCTGTGCTGGACACCATTCTACTCGACAATAAGCTCAAACAAAGCAAGGACTTTGTCCCTTTCACTCTTTGCATGTGCCCAGAACTTGATTCAGGGCTTTGGGGCACAGTTGGTTTTCGGTATATTATTTTTCAGTGAGTAAGTAAATAAAACAGAAACATCTAGCTAAAATAAAAATCATACCTTTTATTTTATTTATTTATTTATTTTGCAGTACCGGGGATTGAACTCAGGACCCTGCACTTGCCAGGCAGAGCTTATTCTACTGAGCTACCTCCCCGGCCCAAAATCATATGTTTTAAATGGGGTATAATTCTACATTCTTAGCCGAAAATTGTAAAGTACCAAGCCTGTGTCAGGTGCTGAACTTGGCACTGCAGAAAAAGAGACACAATGGTGCCCTTGTTTTATTTATTTATTTATTTATTTATTTATTTATTTATTTATTTATGGCCAGCTCAGCCCACCCTGGGGGCAAGGCTGGCACGGCGTGTGGTGCCGGGGATCAAATTGCGGTCCCTGTGCTTTGCCTAAACAGGTGCTTTAGACCACTGAGCTATCTCACCAGCCCTGAAAACAGCACCTTTGTGCCTGGTGGGATTTTACTCCACCAACACGCATCAAGCCCCTGCTCTGGGTCAGGCACCTGGCTGGGCACTGAGGGACAGACGGGTGAGGAAGTCCTTCTGCCGCCCTCTGAGCTCAGGGTGGGAGGTGTCTATCAGAGAAACCTACCTACGGGGCTTAGACTCAGAAAAAGGATATGAGGAATCTGCCTGGAGGGAGCACGCTAGAAACTTCTCACTGCCAGGCTTTAAGCAGCAGCTACTTGAAGGGAGGCTCTATAGGATTCCCACGTTAAGAAGATTGCTTTATGTACCACATCCGCACTCCTGACCTGTAACCATTGATAGGCTGTGTACAGTAATATAATGGAAACAGAACTCGGGCACCAGTTCTGTAAATGTCCTCAGCACTTGAAAACTTTAGGCACCATAATTGCTCAATAAATGGCAACAGCTTGAGGTGCTGCAGCTGAGCCTGTGGCTGCAGCTAGCTACCCAAGGCTCATCAGGACTTTCCCACAGGAAGCACAGGAGGGCTTGGGGATTTCCTGGGCATGGGGACAAGCTCTGGCCAAACCCAGCTGCTAAGTCAGCGTGACAGCTACCAGCTCTCCAGAAATGGGCTTCTTTCTCCTGCTCAGCCTCTTCAAACCCTGCGCAGATGGCTCCCGCCCCATCCACCTGCAGGCAAAGTTCAAAGGGGCTGGGGTGAGGGGGTGCTCTGATCTGGCTATGGGCCGCTGCAATCCAGCACAGCACATGGGAGTCTGTGCAATTTAAAGCCCCAGACAGCTTTTTTGGGGGTGGCTGCAAAAAGAGCATAACTTGGAAATGCTCTGCTGGCTCAGGAAGTAAAGCTGTGGCACCTCGGGGCGAGACACAGGGAGACTGACAAGGTGTGGGAACCCACTGGTTGAGCGAGTCTGCCTTGGCCCCTAATCACGCGGGCAGGTCTTGCCTGCTGTGTTCATCACTGATGACTCTTTGGTGAGGAAGCAAACGGACATGACTCAGACATCCCAAACGTTACCTTCCAATCTGGCACCTTGCATGACTTGCATCTTTGCCTCTCATCTTTGATTTCTTTGCTCATAATACTTTATTTAGTATTGACCGGGTTACACAATATAGCCTGTAAGTTACGCAACCCACAGGATGGCAGTGTGGAGTGGACAAACTGGCCTAACCTCAGTGAGGCACAAGTTACACAACATGCGCACACACCCAGAAGCAAATGCATGGACATCCTCTTGGATTATGTAATTAATAACTAGTAAGGAAAACGATTTCAAACGTGTTCCCCTGAACCTTCCTTCTCGGTTGTGCAGGAGATGTAAATTTTATGTATTCTTCTATCTCTCCTTTACATTCACGGTCAATTTCAAATTGACACACTATATAGCTTTGACTGGAATTGTTTCAGCTTGCTTTCCTTTTCAAATTACATTTACAAGAAAGGGCCACGCACGCTTTGTGACTATACCACTTCACTCTTAATCAGATCACTTTCCATCATGTTCAGTGAATTGGATGATAGCACCCAGGCATCAGTAAGACCTCACAGCTGCCATTAAGCAGTTGCTAATTTATGCACAGGGTTAGGAGCTGGCCTAAGCTGAAACTGACGCTGGTCCCACAAGGAACCTTCAGAGGCAATGGAATGACAATAAGGAGACTCTGGTACCCCTGGATTCTAATTCTGGCTCTGAAGGTAAATTGGCTACCACTTAAACCTTTTGTGCCTCTGTTTTCTTCCTTATAAAATGCTGTACATCTGCCCCATGAAGCAAGAGAGGACTGAAAGCTGGGAGAAGTTAAACAGACCTGACTTCAAGTCCCAGCCCCGTCACTCACTATGAGACCTTAGATTTATTACTTTACGATTCCCTGATGCCCTGCTTTCCTTTCCCGGTCCTAAGCCAGGCTTTCACACCTGTGCTGCCCCTAATGTGTGATGCCTCCCAGGAAGTGCCATCACAGGTGGCTGCTTGCTCCCTGCTTATTTGTCTTAGTGGCACTTGGCACTCGGAGCCTGCAGAGTGCATGGCCCTGTATCTTTGAACACAGGAGCATCAGACTGGCTGATTTTGAAAGTTCCCTTAAAAGACGCTTACGGTCTACTGGACTCCCACAAAGTCAAATCTTGGGGTAGGCTGAACCCAAATGCAAGCCCTGTGCAGAGAGAGGGTGGTGGTCATGTAGTGGGCAGCAGCTAAGGCAAAAGCACCAGCAGTCCACCTTTGGGCAGAGGATGTGTTTGTGACCCTACGCTGCTCAGGAAAAGGGACAGCTGAAATTGGGAAGAGCCAGGTCTCAGTGCTATCTTCAGTGAAACTTTGTCCTATATTTTACAACTGAGAGCTACAGGTGGCTGCCCCTTTGCAAGGAACCTGCAAAAGTGCTGCTTTCAAGTCTGCTTGAGCCTTTGCTGAAGCGGGGTACCAGGGACAAAGTGGCCATCAGAAGTTAAGGGATCAGGGCAGCCACCCTTTCCACTCTGAGGTTGTGTTCAGCCGGACAATGTGCTATCTCTCACCACCTGTGTACCTGTGGCTCTGGGATTGTGGCTCCGGATTTCAGCAACCCCACCCTTATCGTGTCCAGGAAAAATTTTTTAAAAATATGTCTTACGGAGGAAGTCAGCCAAAGGCGATTCACTGATACACAAATAAGCTATGGGACTTGGACTGCATGGCCCCGGGGCCTGGCCCCATGGAGTTTAAAGACGGGGTTGCAGAGGAGGAAGAATCCTGGCCAAACAGTCGCTGGGCGCCCAGATCTTGGCGCCGCAGGGAAACACGTGCAGCCCAGCAACCCCGGTATTGGTCCCCAGAAAAGGAGAACGTTTAAGGCAGGGAATAGCGGAGCCAGCCAACGCGGGTGCCGCAGCGCGGGCCCCCTGGCCGCGGTTTCCCCTTCTGCCAAACAAGGGTCAGTGTGTCCTAACCATGCTGTTACTCTAAACCTCAACACAGCAGGCTGATGCCGCCCAAGGCTCGCAGACGCGAGAGGGAAGGAGCAGCGAGGGAAGACGGCAGGGAAAAGAAAAGGCGCGGGATGCCGGGACAGGCTTGGCGGGTTTTTGGCTGCGCGCCTCCTCCTTCCACACCTGAGTTCCCACGGCTGGGCTAAGGCCAGTGCCCGTCGCGTCTGAGCCCCACAGTACACAAGCTTCTCCCATCTAGCAATTTCCATTTTCTGGAAGCCGTGGGGCCGATGCTGGCGGCACGACAACGCATGCCACGGATGGCAGAGGGAATGGTAGGGGTGGGTGCGGAGGTTAGGTGAGAAAAGCCAGGGCTGGCCAGGGGGTGGGATCGCCCCAACCTGGGGATCGCAGGGCGCCGCGCTCTAGCCCGCGAACTCTGGAAGGGCCAAATTTTTATTTCCCAACATTCAGCATATGGGCAAGGGGTATAGGCACAAAAAAAAAAAAAAGTAAAAAGTTGTAGAACTTTTCCCCCAACTCTACCGCGGGGGCGGGACCAGAGGGCGGTGCCTGCACCCTGATTCGCCGACGGCCGGCGCGGAGAGGCGCGGATTGGCTTGCAGGCCCAGGCCGGGAAGAGCGGGGTGGGGGTGGGGAGCGCCCTCCCCGCCCGCGGGATCAGCTCGCGCCGGGAGCGGGTTAATTTCAAATCGGGGTCTTGACTGCTCCAGGACGGCCACGCTCCCTTGCCCGCCCGTCGGCCCGCCAGTCCCGGTCCCGGCGTTTCCCTCCGGCACCCACCTCGGCGCGGCGGAAAGGCTGACTGACCGCCGGACAGGCAGGCTCCCGGGCCTGGGCGGGAAAGGGGGTGCCCAGGGTCCCCATTCGGCCCCCGGAGGCTCCGACCGTGAAGTGGACTGACAGGTCAGCAGGAAGCAGAGGGACACGGCACCAGGCCTGCGGGCCCCGGGAGCAGGCTAGGGCGGGCGGCGGCGGCGGCGGCCGTTTCCCGCCTCCCGCTCTGCCGGGGGCCGTGGAGGGAGGAGCTGAGCTCCCGCGCAGAGGGGCGGGGGCGAGCGAGGGGGAGGGGCAGGGATGCCGGGTTCCGGGCGCGGGTTTGCCCGCGCTCAAGCCCCGCGCAACTCTGAAGGGGCGGCGCCGGCCACGATCCGGCTTTCCGCGCCAAATTTTTAAATCGAAGGCGGAAGGTCCGGCCCCGCCCCTGGTACCGTCAGCCAATTGCAGGCCTGAAGCGGAGTCTCTGATTGGACAGGCATCGTTGCCCTGGAAACCATGAAGATGCTGTCCGGGAACTGTCGGGCGGGCGGCGGGCTAGCGGCCCGCGGGGGAGGTGCGGTCGGTCAGAAGGAGGGAAGGTGTCCCGGGCGCGGAGCGGGTGGCGGCAAGGCGATCGTACCTGGTGCCTTACTGAGCAAAGGCACCCTCCGGTGGTGGAGTTAACCGCGTGTCGTGAGCCCGCCACCTGAGCGCGAGTACTTCGCGTTCTGCATCTTGAATGACTTTTTAAAAAGAAAAATAATCAGAAGGCGCTCTTTAAATGCCCCACCGTGCGGCTAGATCTTTGGGGCTGAATTTGGAAGTTTCATTTCAATCAACTCCCCAAGCCTTTACTGCCGCGCCTGTGCACGTGTGTGTAAGGGGAGAAATTCGGGCATCTCGATGTGGATTCGTATCCAGATACCTGGAGTCGTGTGTGCTCTGCCTGAACCGGGCTCGTGCACTCAGTCCAGAGCTCTGCTCCGGGGACAGGTGGGTGCTTTCTAGAGGTTATTCAGCGGGGTCCGGAAAGTGGCCCACCCTCTCTAAAGATGGGAGAGGGTTGTCAGTGGAAAGTCTTGGGTTGCTGTAAGCCTGTGACAGCAGATGGGCTTATGAAGGAATTTACTTGTGTTTCCTACAATTCTCTGCCCAGTGAATCTACCTGTGATGGATCAAAAAATATTGTCTAATTTGTCCTTTTTCGTTAGTCTTTGTTTCTGTAGCCTCTTGTGTCTGAATTTTCAGCAGATCTTCTGATTCTGATTTTTCCCTTCTTTTTCTTCAAAAGGAGTTTAAGATTTTCGATAGAATTTATCGCACCACTTGAACCATTGCGTTTTGAGAAGGAACTCCAGATTTTTCATTTTTAAAGAAACACTAAATGTATAAGAAATTGACAGAATGGAGAACGAAAAGGTACTTTCCGTTTCAATATCTACTCTGTAGTTTTAAGATAATATTATCTTGATTTAACTTCTTAATTTTTAATTCTCCAGAGTCATGATTGTCATCCTTTTCTTGGTTATTCTTTGTAAAACTCTCAAAGGAAGGAAAATCTAAGTTTTGGAGAGATGTGTATGTCTCAAAGAGATAAACACAGAAAACCATTTTTGAGAATAGTAAGATATATTAATTGCATGAAAATACTTAGGAATCATGAATAATTGGAATTTGAAAGGATATTTGATAGGCCTCAATAGTAGATTTTTTTTTAAAAAAAGGTAATTTCCTCCTAGGGTTCCAAATGCTGTTCAGGCAGTATTTTGTAAAGTTGCAGAGAAATTGCTAAGAGGGGTGGCTTAATGGGTACTGATAAGTTAAAAACACAGTGAACTTTTAGGAAGAATTCCTGAACGTTTTAGGTGTTAGATAAAGAGACTCAGGTTATTGTGAACATTGTGAGGTGAAGGGCAAGAGCCTAGAAAAAAACCCATCCAGGGCCCGCAGGTTCGGGGTGTACTTGCTGGCAAACAGCCCCCACACAATCCTTGCACCAACTTCCTTGTACAAAGCACCCCATCTGCCCTGAGAAGGTTCCAGTCCTTTGTGACCTCCCTCCACCTGGTATCCTCTTCTACTAAATACAAGAGTCGAGGAAAACACTACCAAAACCTCAGGTGTGGCATGTAAAGCAGAACATCATTGTTCCTAAACTTACTGAGGAACCAGTGGATCTCTTTGTTCTTTCATTTACTGCTCTTCCAAATATTTTCTTTAAAATAGTTACAGATAGTGTGTGAAGTTCTTGGTGCTTTTCATTCTTATTTATGAAATGCTATCAACCCACCCTCTAGCCTTAGTGGCTGCTCTCCTTTCTGCCAAGAGTTACTTCGGTACCTTGCATGGCTCCTTTTATTTCTTTTGAGCCGTTTTCTCCATCGATAGAGTTAGAAAGTACACAGAGAGCGGAGCTTCCTGGTCAAAAGTTGTTCTCTCAGGCGTTCGAGATTTTCCTGATAAGTCTGCTCAGCTTTCCTGCATGTTTGGTGTTTTATTGAGCATCTACTGCACGCAGCTGTTATGCTAATAGATAATGGCTCCTGCCTCAGATGCCTTTGTTAGTGTCTTGTGTAAAGCTTGCTTCTAGAAACTGAGATCATTTAAATGTGTCAGTCTTGTTAGGAGATGAGTGAAAGGTGTTTAGGGACCCTAACTTATCTGTTAACTCTTCTATAAAATTGCTTCAAAATAGAGTTAAAGTTATTTTTAAATTTGTTTAAAAAATCTTTTATTTATTTATTTGGTTCAGGGTCTCACTACACAGCTCAGACTCCTAGTGAACCTCCTTTCTCAGTCGTCCCAGCGCTGGGTTTATAGGCATGCGCCGCTACGCCGGTTTTTAGTGGCAGCTCAGCATGGTAGTGGGGATCAAACCCCGATCCTTGTGCTCGCCAAGCAGGTGCTTAGACCACCAACCTATCTCCCCAGCCCCATTTTAACTTTTTAAAAAAATACTTGGAAGATGAAAACATTTAGGTCCGTGCTTGTTACAAAATGAAGAGTGGGAAATTTAACTATGAAAATGGACAGGAAGTGTCTAGTGATCATGGGAACGCAGCCATTAACTTAAACCAAATTTAAAGTCTCATTTCACATTTTCTCCTTAGCAATGTTCAATGCACTGTACAGTTTGTAGATGTTAAAGCCGTCTGATAAATCCTGTCTTACAGTAGATTTTTAACTCCTTCTTTTGAACCAGGAAAATCTTTTCATTGAGCCATACAAAAGGGTACTGACGAAGTCACCCCTGAAGGAGTGCACCAGGGAGAATGTCGCGCAGGCCGACCTGCCCTCGCCCACCCTGGGCCCTTTGACCACGCCCACCAAGCCCAAGGAAGTCTCCCAGGGAGAGCCGTGGACACCAACAGCCAACTTGAAAATGCTTATCAGTGCCGTGAGCCCAGAGATCCGCAGCAGAGATCAGAAAAGAGGGCTGTTTGACAACAGAAGGGGATTACCCGAGGCCAAAGACTGTTTGCGTGTAGGTTTTCCGGGCGGAGCCTAGGGATTCACGGGGTATTTGGAGCTGGCACAGAAGTGCCCATAGCAGGATGCCTTGCCACTCTGGGACTATTACTGACCTCATTCTGACTACCAGAAAGATGTGGACCCCCATCAGACATTGGACTGGGAATGCTGAACATTCGAGTTATTTTTTTTTCAGGCTTGCCTTGTAGATTTGCTGAAGCTCATATTTACCGTATTTACTGTATCCTGTCCTGTCTCTCTCTCTCTCTCTCTCTCTCTCTCTCTCTCTCTCTCTCTCTCTCTCACACACACACACACACACACACACATGCATACAAATGTATCCTTTTTTCCTACCCTAAACTTTGCAGCTGTCCCAAGCTAAACATGGGTGTAAGTGGTGTTAGTCACTAAGCACAGATGTCCCTAGTAAATCTGTCAAACTTTATTGACCAGGAAGCCCTTGTGTACCTTTTCCTTTGTAGGAGCGCTTATCTGGAGATGAATTTGAGAAGTCCCAACCAAGTCGAAAAGAGAAAAGTTTAGGCCTGTTGTGTCATAAGTTCTTAGCGCGATACCCTAACTATCCTAACCCTGCTGTGAATAATGACATCTGTCTTGACGAAGTTGCAGAGGAACTTAGTAAGTATGCAGAGAGTTGGCTTCAGTGGTTAATAATTAAAGTGACTTTATGGACTTAACTCCTTCCGAGCCAGCCTGTAACAGCCACCCAGAAGGCAAATTAGGTTTTCCTACAAGGCTCTAAGGTTTTCCTCATTGAAGAATAAAGCTGAATAGTGTCTAACTTCTGTAAATCTGAGAGGCAAAGTAAACCACGAGGGGGGCTGCTTCTGATTGTAGGGTCTCTAAGCTTTACTGAGAGGCAAGTGTATCGTATGGCTTGTGTCCCTGTCACCTACAGCTCCGAACATTCTCTTTGGGATGCCCACACACGTGCTCATGGCCAGCTTCTGGGAGTGGGACCAGGACTTGTGCATCCACTGCCACTCCGCCACTGTTCGAACAGGGATGGGTTTTTGGGCTGTTTGTGGTTGGCAGATGTTATGTTCTGCCCCCTTTTGTTCCCTTCTTTCCTCACTGACCTGCATCAAGTTATAGCCTAAAAGGGATTTGCAGTAAGCTTGGGTGCGTCTGGAGTCATGGACGTATCTTAATCTAATACCTGAAGAGGTGCACTAAGTGGGATATAATACACTCTAGTGTCTAGATAACCCCCGTGGGGAGAAGTTCTGTGACTCTAACACATGTTTATAAATATCGGCTCTATTGCACGTTCATCTCTTCACACACACACCAGTAGGAAGTTCCCGTCGATCCAGCAGCTGTCTACTAATCCCGAGTGCCAGGCAGTGTTCTTGGAGCTCAGAGTACAGAAATGAGACAAACAGGGCAAAACCCCTTCTCTGGGGAACCTACAGCCCAGTGAGGGGGTAGGTAATTACAAAGGACCTGACACATGAGCCACGATGGTGAAGGTCAGAAAGTGGCACCATGCCTCAGCAAAAAAGAGGATAGAAGGATCGGCAGTGCTGACGCTGTACTATTTTAAATTGAGCAGTCAGGCCAGGCCTTACTGAGTTCACATCTGAGCCAGGACTTAGAAGCAAGGCAGAGGGCTCGGAGGACCCCGGGAAGAGATGAACTGAAGGAACAGCCCTAACCTACGTTTTCAAGGAAGGGCTTGTCAGGCGGGGCCCAGGAGCAGCCGCTAGGGGGCGTGCTTCGTGAAGGCGTGTTTTCGTAAGCGCTTTGCCAGAAAGGCCAGATTTCATCAAATATTTGAATTGGAAACAACATTGATAGTAAATGGCAGGAAAAAAGAGACCCTTGACACTGCAGGATGCTGAAAAGTCCATTTAATTAGATAGGAGTCACAGAATTACGAATATCACGTTAGCGGTAGCTAGGAGGAAAGCACAGACCCACAAGCGGATATAATTTTTTATGTGAATTTTTAAGAGACATCGTGGCCTTTGCACTTTTCTGAAATCTTAACACTTTTATCAGTAATGTGGAGGACCGGCCAAATAGCTCAGCAGATTAAGCTCCTGCAGGCAGGTGTAGGGGCCAGGGGTTCAATCCCTGGGCCTGCAGTGCCGGTCCCACCAGCCCAGGGCGCGCTGAGACGGCAACTGAGACTGGGCATGGTGGCGCACACTGTAATCCCAGCTCTTGGGAGGCTGTAAACAGGAGAATCACTACGAGTCCGATCTAGTAGTGAGACCCTGAACACCCTGTAGACCCCTAAAATACTACTAATAATAATGTGGTTACTGTAGGCCATGTGTGTGTGTGTGTAAGGTAATACAAGAAATAAGTTAGCACGTGTGGAATTCGTAGCATAAAACACTTGAGGCTGTGTGACGCATACTAGGTCCTCCATAGATGTTGTCTTTTGTATACATATTAACTCATCTGTACCCATCATTCTCAACATACAACATATTAAGACTTTGTACATACAGTAAATAAAATTATATTATCCAGAACCTACTGACTAAAAACACTGTAGAAGAAAATTTATGCAATTCCAAACTCATTACAAAAGTCTGGCCCTAACGACACACAATTTATTGTTCTTCCTAGATGTTGAACGTCGACGAATTTATGATATCGTGAACGTCCTAGAGAGTTTACATATGGTGAGCCGGCTCGCCAAAAACAGGTACACGTGGCATGGGCGGCATAATCTCAACAAGACCCTTGGGACTCTGAAGAGCGTTGGGGTGGAGAATAAGTATGCCGAGCAGATTATGATGCTCAAAAAGAAAGAATCCGAGCAAGAGTTTGACTTCATCAAGAGTTACGGTATAGAAGATCACATCATCAAATCAAATAGTGACCAGAATGGACATGCAGAGATGTGTTTTGTTGAACTCCCTGGAGTGGAATTTCGGGCAGGTGAGAGATGGTATTAGAAAGCCTGGACTAGTTGGATGTGCTTGCGCGTGCCAGTAATCCCAGCGTGAGGGAGGCTGAGACAGGATTGCTACAAGTTTGTTTGTTTTTGAGACAGGGTCTCCCTATGCAGTTTGAACTGGCCTTGTGCTCACTTTTGTAGCCCCCAGGCTGGTCTTGAACTCGCAGAGATCCTCCAGGCTCAACCTCCCAAGTACTAGGATTACAGGCATGCACCACCATGCCCAGTTCACTGCAAGTTTAATGCCAACATGGGCTACATAAGTAAGTCCAAGGAGAGACCCTGTCTCCAAAAAAAAAAATAGGCTGTGGGACTGGGGAGATAGCTCAGCACCATAAACACCTGCCTGGCAAGTGCAAGGTACCAAGTTCTATCCCTGGTACCACCAAAAAAAAAAAAAAAGGCTGTGTAGCTTTTCTCAAAGGTCTGACAAAAGACCCCGTAGAAAACACCACTGCAGCTTTTAATGTCAAAATGTGTTGTGGCAGTTGTCAGCTGCATGATCAGGTGGTGATATTTTTAGACTTGTTACTTTAGAAGTCACTTGTCCCTTCATGAATTTTAATTCTCTAATCTTCGTCCTTCTCCCAAGCTTCTGTAAACAGCCGCAAAGACAAGTCCTTACGAGTGATGAGCCAGAAGTTTGTGATGCTGTTTTTGGTGTCAACACCGCAGATCGTCAGCCTAGAAATCGCTGCCAAGATTTTAATTGGTGAGGACCACGTGGATGACCTGGATAAAAGCAAGTTTAAAAGTAAGCGTCATAATCATGGGACCTGGGGAACAGTAGTCTCAGGCAGCAACTGATTTCTAAGAGTCCTGGGCGTCTCAGCTGATCTTTAGTTACCTGCACTTCTCCCAAGCAGCTCTAATAGCTTTAGCTTTAGTTATCTCCGAGGATTCAAAGATGGGGATATTCTTACTTGTATTTTGACTTCATCTGATACTTTAACCCCGGTCCCTTCTTATACTCTTAAGTCATGTATGTATGTATGTATGTATGTACAGGGTCTTGCTATGTAGCTCGGACTCATAGTGATCCTCCTGTCTCAGCCTCCCCAGTACTGGGATTACAGGTGTGCGCCACCACACCCAGTTGTGGTGGCCAGGAAGGCACACGTACAGTTCTGGGGCCAGCATGGCATACAGTACCAGGGATTAAATTCAGGACTTTGTGCTTGCCAGGCAGGGTGCTTAGATCACTGAGCTAGCTCCCTGGCCTCATAACATCTCTTTTTACAGTAGGAGAATCTGTCCTGTGAGTTATAAATGAACAGTAAATTATAAAGTAAGATTGAATCCTAGATCTGGTCTTTCCACTAACGCTGCTCTATAAAGATACAAATAGCTGTTATAAAACTGACCTCTAAATTCACCTGTTATAGAGATGGTTCGCCTTTTTTTTTTTTTTTTTTGGTGCCACATATCAAGCTTAGGACCTTGCACTTGCCAGGCAGGCACTTTGGTTTGCCTTGGAAGAATGATTTTAGCCAGCTGACCTGCTCCACGTTGGGAAGGGACCATAGATTGGCTCTGACAGTGGCTGTGCCTGTCACATAGTCTCTGTCCCTGTAGCCATGCCAGACAGGCAGGAAGCTCCATGTGAGGAGTAGAGAGAAGGTGTGGACAGAGGCACTCAGTGTGCGGGGACTCTGTTTCGTGCCCATCTCTGTGGGGAGGCTACCTGGAAGTAGCCGCTCACAGTACCCAGCTGTATGGTGAGGAAAAGCTGGCCCTAGTGACCCCAGAGCCAATAGGTGTTGGCTGGGGCCCTCGCAGCAAGATGCCTTCCTGTCCTCCGAAGCTGTGCCCACCCCATGGCCGCTGTATGTTCAGATGTCCTGAGGCCCATAGTGACAGTTAAGTAGAGAATAAGGGTAGTGATGCTGGCCTTGGGGTTAGGAGACCTGCAGTTTGAAAACAAGACATTCTGACTCAACTGCTAAGTCGACCGCTGGTTTCTTCTGAGTCACTGCTTTTCAGCTCTGTTTCCCTAGTTAGTCACAGCCTTGGAAGCTATTCCAGGAATTGCAGATGTGTAATTTGCTGAGTCCCCAAGAAATTCAATACCTTCTAGCATGGCTCTGAAGAAGGAGACTAGATTTGCAAGTTTATACTAACAAGATGAAAGTAAATAGGCTTTTTGTGACAAAACTTCAAGATATGAGAGATTTATCAAGATCTTAGCAAGAAAGTTCATGTTACGGAAGAAAGAGGCCAAAAACCAGCTTTCAAATGGACAGCAAGTATATGCAAGTATATGCTTGACCTAAGGACAATTTCTTAGTTATGAAATGTACAAATTTGTGGAGGTACAGAATTTTCCACGCTTATGATTTTTTTTTTTTTTTTTTAGTACCAGAAATTGAACTCAGGACTTGTGCTTCAAGCAGGCACTTGTGCCACTGAGCTATATGCCCAGTCCCACACTTAGGATATTAAGGAAAGCTTGTCATAAACTATCACAAGCAGAAAAGCAGTATATTTATCACTAATCTGTTTCTGTCTGTTAAATTCTTCTGACTCCTCATTAGCAGAGACCTGGGAATAGTGACTTTTTATAAATAGGGTGATGCAATAAAGATTTTTTCTTTTTCAACTTATACTGTTGTCATTTCAAAATTCAGGGCCAGCAGTAACTGCCTTTTAAAAATTTAAAACTACTTTTTTTGTTTTAATTAAAGCGCTCCTACTAGAATAACTTAAAAGGAGTTAGACGTTCCTGTCTGACATTGACGGTTCGGATAGCTCTTAGAATCTACATGAATTTCTTAGGAAGCAAAATCCTTTGATCCTTCATTATTCTTTTTTTTTTTTTTTTTTTAACATTTATTTATTTATTTTGTGTGTGTGTGGCCAGCTCAGCCCACCTGGGGGCGGGGCTGGCTGGCATGTGGTGCTGGGGGATTGAACGGGGGTCTCTGTACTTTGCCAAGCTTGTTCCAAGTAGGTGCTTTAGACCACTGAGCCATCTCGCCAGCCCTGATCCTTCATTATTCTACTAAGAGTTATATACGCTTTCTTGTTCCCAGCAAAAATTAGGAGGTTGTATGATATAGCGAATGTCCTGAGCAGCCTGGATCTTATCAAGAAAGTTCATGTTACGGAAGAAAGAGGCCGAAAACCAGCTTTCAAATGGACAGGCCCAGAAATCAGTCCGAATACCGGTGGTACGTGATGGTAACTTTCATCCTTTACTTTTTGTTAAGTAGGATGGATTTCAGAAGATTCTCCTTTCTGCCTTCCTGTACACCCACATGGAAAAGACAGATATAGATGGTTCCACAAAACATTGTTGGCCTGCGCAGATAGCTCAATGGTCTAAGCTCCTGCCTGGCAAGCAGAAGGACCAGGATTCAATCCCTGGTACCTCATGGTGGCCCACGCCTGTAATACCAGCACTGAGAAGGCTGACACAGGAGAATCACTATGAATGAGTCCAAACTGTGTGGTGAGACCCTGTACCAAATAAACACATAAAAGATTAATTTTTTTTTTTTTTTTTTTTTTTAAAGCCAGTGTTGAATGTCAATACAGAGGGCTGGCTACCAGTTCCCTCAGTCCCTTAAACTCTCTAAGCCTCTCCCATGCTGTGTCCAGGAGGTAGGATCTGGAAGCCACAGGATTTGGAGAGTTGCAGGCACCCTGTCGTTCGCAGCTGCCCTCACTGTGCCGCCCGGAGCACAGCCCGCCTGCACACGCGGCGGCGCGATCAGAGTCCGCTCAGCTTTCAGGGTGGGTGTCTCCAGCCCACATCTCAGTTCTCTGACTCTGACTTTTTGCCTTCTGCCAAAGACCCCACCCCGAGTGCCTGGAAAAGAACAAGGATTTGGAACATGAAGAGACTAATTTTCAGTCCCGTTTCTGCGCTTAGTAGCCGTGTGGCCTCAGGCAGGTGACGTCCGGAGTTTCCTCAGTTTCCTCACCTGTGAAGTTGGAAGAAGAGCAGCGCCTGTGCTGGGTTACTGCGATGGTGTTGGGTTTGAGCTCAGGGAGAGGCGGGCGCTTGGGCCATGCCGACCTGGTCCGTGTTCTCATCTCTGAGAAGCACCTGCCATGGGGAGCTGGTGAAGGAGTCACCATATTTCTTTTTTTTTTCCTTTCTTCCTTTCTTTCTTCTTTTTTTTTTTTTAATGTATTTAGTACAGGGTCTACAGGGTCTTCACTACCCAGATCGGGCTCAATGATCCTCGGATTTTTGAGCCTCTGGATTACGAGTGTGCACCACCACGCCCAGTCTCATTCGCCGTCTCAGCGCGCCTTGGGGGCGGGGCCGGCGGGGCAAGCTGGGAATCGAACCTTGGTCCCTGAGACTGCCTAAGCAGGCGCTTTAATCCGCTGAGCTATCTGGCCAACCCACAGTCACCGTATTTCACCAGCTCTAACACACCAGAGATGCCAGGCCACAGAATTTTCCAGCTAGCAATAAGAACGAGAAGTCAGTAGCGACGGCCCAGGAGCACATTGCTGCTGTAAGATTCAGTCAGCTCACGCTGCTTTACTTACCGTGTGCATTCTACAGTGTCAGGTATCGTGAGATGACAAAGCATATGGCAGAACGTGGGTGGGCTGCATGCAAACCCTGTGACATGCTGTATACAGAGCCTGAGCGTCAGCAGCTTGTGGTATTGGGGATTCTGTAGCCAACGCCTCGGGTATGAAGCAACAAATAACCGTATGGTGTGGTTTCATCAATAAATACCAGATCTCAGAATTCTTCCAATAAGATAAACAAAGTTACCTATATAAAAGCTCTGGGACAGCAGCACATAGCTGATACTCAGCAAGTCACTACTTTTATCCCCCAAATTTGAATTACTCTGTGATTTCGTATCTCAGCAGGAAGCCAGACTGCCAGACTTTAATACCCTCGCCTTTTCCATTGCAGGCTGCAGCCCAGTCCTTCCCTCCGCCGCCTCCGACCTGGGGGTGAGGCGGTCTGCCAAAGAGAACTGTGCCAAAAACCTCTTCGCCTCACGCGGTAAACCCAACTTTACACGACACCCATCTCTTATCAAGCTCGTGAAGAGTATAGAGAGTGACCGGAGAAAGATAAACTCTGCCCCCAGCAGCCCCGTCAAGAGCAGCAGAGGTGTGTGTCCCGGGAACATCGAGGCTCGTTCCTTTTGCTCTAATCCATGCGGCTCACTGGATCCCTGCAGCATTAGGATTGGCTCGGGATCTGGGGACCCAAAGCTGCAGACTCGGGACGCTAAATTACATGTGAAGTACGAGGGTGAAGAGCGATGTGTGGGGTCTGCTGTTAGATGGCTGTGTAACTTTGGAGACAGCTGTGCATCCTCTGATTTGTGGTCTGTGATGAGGTTTCGTGCGCGTATTTATTTCTTCGCTGTGACCACTCACCCTCTTTTCTGTTTTGCCAGCTGAAAGTTCTCAGAATTCTCCGCTCTTCCCGAATAAAATGGCTCAGCTTGCAGCTATTTGCAAAATGCAGCTAGAAGAACAATCGAGGTGGGTTGACAATGCTCTTTAGTGCTGGGATGAATCACTTGCACACTGTATTATTAGAACTGCTGGTGGGAATGTAAGCTAGTACAGCCAGCAAGAAAATCAGTACAGAGACGCCTAAAAAAAACACACACACACAAGTTGAAATTCCATTTATGCAGCTGTTTCCCTGCCGGGTATCCTCCCACGAGCTAAAGACACCACATGACAGCGATGTTCGCACGCCCAGGGTTACGGCAGCACAGTTCGTAGTAGTTCAATCTTGGGAGCACTCTATATGCCCATCAGCAGATGAATGCATAAGGAAAATGTAGCTACCCAGTGGAGTACTACTCTGCTGTGAAAAGAATACACTTGAGTCATTTGTGGGAACATGGATACACCTTGAGACCTTAATGTTAAGGAAATATATCAGATGCACAAGCTTAAATACTGTATTGCTACAGGAGAAACACAAATACATACAGAGCAAAATATAAAATAAATAGGAAGCAGGGAGATAGATGTTCCTCAGGTGGGAGGAGTACGAAGAGCTGGAGGAAGGGGAGAGAAAGGAATTAAGCTGTGGTGTGCACACGTACCCACTCCACACAAGGAATATGAGCCACCATTAGGCCGCCAACATGGCCTAATAAAAAAAATGAAATTGGAAACAGTCACTTACCTTCTGTGGTCATGGCACGAGCCTTAGAAACTAGAGGTGATCTTTCTTGTATGTCTGGCTCAGGCAGGACAGAAACGACCACTAGTTTCACAAAAGTGTGGCTTTCACAAAAGACTTAAAATAGAAGAACACTGAGGAAAAATTGTATTTCCCGTGTGTCATGCTTCAATCTTATCTTTCAGTGAACCCAGAAAGAAAATGAAAGTACAGCTAGCAAGATCTGGGCACTGCAAGCCAGTGGCCCCGCTGGACACTTCAGCAAAGGCTGAACTGGAGCTGACCGCGCCATCCCTCATCCAGCCCCTGGGCGTGGTCCCCCTGGTACCCAGCCCTTTGTCACCCGCGGTGCCAGTGATCCTACCTCAAGCCTCTTCTGGCCCATCCTATGCCATCTACTTGCAGCCTGCCCAAGCCCCAACCATGACACCACCCCAAGGTCTGAGCCCAACAGTCCGGCCCACCCACAGCTCTAAAGCAGTTGGAGCAAAAGATTCCGCAGAGGCCACCAACGAGAAGGCCACCAATGATGCCACAAGGACTGATAGTGCCTCCAGAGCTGGAAGCCTACTGCCAGCACCAGAGAGACAAGTTGCAAAGAACCGAACCAGGGAGGTACCTGGAGAAAAGGGCTCCAAGAGGCCCAGCACATTTGAGGACTGTATTTCTAAAAAGAAATACAAAGAGGACTTAAAAGGAATTGAAAATGTGTCCGCAGTAAGTACAACCTAGAACTGTGCTTTAAACTGTGAGGAATTTCCTTCTAGGTTCAGAGACCATCTAGGGACTTATGAAATGTCCTAGAGCAGAGAACAGCGTCCCAGCAGACAAAAAGAGCTGTTCCTTAGCATCCTGTAACCCAGATGAGGTCCAGAGAGCTAATCCCCTGACCGGGATGACGGCAGTGACATTTTTAGCCTTTGGAGGAAGGGATTATTTGCTCACTTTTTAAGACACCACGAGCGGGTGTCCTGAGTCTGTCTCTACCACGCTGGAATGCCAGCACCTGTCATGAAGGTTGTAAATAATTCATAAACAGACTTGATCCCAAAGGGACGGATGTGTGGGCTTCCCGCGGCTCCTGCTGAGTCATTCCCCAGCACTTGGTGTCATGGAACTGTGACATCTGTCACCTCGAAGATAATCTGTTTCCCATTTGTACTTTTCATCTGACGTTTCTATTTTGTGAAAATAGAGAAATCAGACTGACCTTGGCACAGTGGAGGTATATTTGATACCTTGGCTTCTAAAGATGTTGACACATTACATAGTTTCTTTCTCAGATAGAGATTGGTTCTGGAAAGAATTAATATTTATTGGCTATTTACTCACGTACCAGATGGCCCAGGTGTTAGGTACACCCATTGTCTTATTTCCCTCTTAGGACAATTACATACGAAAGCTGTTCTCACCACATAAGTACTACTATACATGGAAGCAGAAATTAATCTTGCATTTTGTTGCTGCTGTTGACTCAAGTTATTTTATTTCTCTACGTCTTTTTTTTTTCCCCTTCCTTTATAATGAATTGACTCCACCAGTTTTTTTCTGCTGACTCCGGATCACATCTAACCCAGCACCTGCCTCCGGTGGCTGATGCTCCCAAGTACCTGCCCTATAGCTGTATCACAGTTTTGGTGGGATTAAGGGAGTTTATTACATGATGATATACATAAAGATGCTGGTGATCCCATTAAGACCCGTATCTGCTGTGGGGCACTATCTGTAGCTGCTGTTATTAAGGAAGCTTAGAGTTTGTCAAAGCTTTCCTGAGGATGGCCTCGCAGAGACCATGCAGAGCATCTATTATCTCCTGTGCTATTTTGCCCTTAATGTCCATGCTAGGGAGAAAATCTGGGAGGTCTGTTAATCTCTCTGGGCCCATGGGGATGATTTCATGGTGGTCCTCTGTTCACCGGGAATTGTCAGCAGTGGGTGTGCAATGGGTACCTTTTCCATGTCCTCTTCTTTTTTAAAAATCTGTTTTTCATCTCTGTGACACTATTCTGACCATTTCTTTTTAGCACAGGCTGTAGAGAACAAAGGCAATGTGCTAATTAGCCCCGGGACCACTTCTTGAGAATCCACACTTCTAGAAGTGTGAAGAGAAGACAGTGTTCAAATAAACATAGAAATAACTGCAGACTGTGAATGTGAGACAAGGATAGCAGAAGTTAAGACAGACTGAAAGGAGAGGAAGAGAACGTCTGGGCTGGGAGAGATGTTGTGGCCATTCGGGGGAAATATATCAGACTCGTTGGTTTTGCTAAAGTAATCCCACCATTTTTTTAAAAAATGGAATCAGCACTATAGGTTAAAAGATTTTGTAGTAAATGTAATTGAAAATTAAGAGGGCCGGGGAGATGGCTCAGTAGAATAAGCACTTCCCTGGCAAGCTCAGGAGCCTGAGTTCAATCCCCAGTTCCACCAAAAAAAAGAAAATTGAGAAGTGTGGTTATTGGGAGAGCATGACAGGTTTTACTGAGGTTTTAGAAGAATAACTTGTACAGGAGAGTATGGCCCCCATCACAGCTCAGCCCCATGTAGAAGGCCCCAGTCCACCTTTAGAAGTCTCTATTTTTGTGCTTACGAAGTACCAACTGCTAAGGATTTTGAGGATTACCAAGCACCTAAGAAACACAATATTATGGTATGCTTTTAGTTCTGTGGATTCCGAATTCACCAGTTCCCTAGGAAAAAACTTATTAAGAGCCGGATCAAAGTGCGGACTGTTGTTTTGAACATGGAGAGAAGAAAAGCCTGAAGGGAGATAAAAGGAAGCCCCTGCTTTATAAGAGCTGCCTTTTGCTTGCGCCAGCCGCGCGCAGGGTGAGGCCAAAACTGACTGTGGGCAGCCCGGCCCAGCCCAGCCCAGCCACCCACGTAGACTTTTCCCTTTGGAGAAGTACAGAATGAAAGCTGCAGGGCGGGAGGCGCATGCAGGCCGACGTGCGGGCCTTTTCTATTTGGAGCATTACTATTTTATTGCATGAGACTTTTGCTCAGTGATGCGTGGGTTTCTAATAGGAGCTAATCAGCTCTTTTTTTTGTCTGTATTTTTTCACCCCAGTGTACTTTAGTTTGCTTGTAAAAGGCTGGTACTGTCAGAACAAGCCATCTGCAACATTTGAAAGTCTATAAATTCCTTTGTTCTAAATCAGGGGTCAGTAAACTTTCTATAAAGGGCCAGAGAGTGAAGTTGTTTGGATTTGTGGGCCTGGGGCCTCTGTCGTACCTCCATAGCCCTGCCCCTGCGGAGGAGATCAGCCAGAAGAGTAAAGGAGTAGGCCTGGCGGTGTTCCGGTGGAGCTTCTTTTACAGAAGCGTGGGAAGGGTTGGCCATGGCCAAAGGCCATGTTTTGGCACCTTTTTTCTCTACATCAACATTGTCTCAAGTATTTTCTTTGAATATTAGTCCTCCTTAATAGCCTACCAAAAATAGTCTGGAAAATGCTACATACAGTATGCCCCACTTGCAGGTTAATAATGCATGCTGTCATTAAAGTCTCTAAAATATTCTAGCCAAGACACTGTTTGCCTTTGTTTAATTTAGCATTTCCCAAACATATTTGATCGTGAAGCAAGTGGTTCCTGCTTGCATCCCTGGAAACTAGGGTCCCTCAGCATACTCCTTGGGAAATATCAGCCCACCTAATTGAAGAGTAGCCAGGTACTGCTCCTGCAGCGTAGCATGTGGCTTTCACCAGCATTAAATGCAACCCCAGCAGCGCCACCCCACACAAGTGAGGATGTCATCATACGAAGGGTCTTGTGCTAGGTGAGTCCCACCCCCACGCAGGCTCCAGCAGCATTGAAGATGCAAGTGATCAGTGCTGTCCGGCCCAAGCACTGGGATGGATAGGAGGGTCATGTTCTCTAGGAACCAGATAGCTCTGCCCAAACCGTGGGAGGCTTTGGTTTGATGTGATGAACCCTTGGCGTGTGGCCATTTTCCTTCCTGGACTAGTTGTGTGTAAAGACACCCCTCCCCCTGTTTTCCAGACCTTGTTCCCGTCAGGCTACCTGATCCCTCTGGCCCAGTGCTCATCCTTGGGGGCAGAATCCATCCTGTCTAATAAAGAAAACTCAGGTACACTTTCCCCAAACCACAGGATCTACAGCTCCCCAATCACAGGTGAGTGTGAGGGAAACACTATTCAAAACTGAGTGTCTCGTTTCTCAGGCCGTGTGAACTTCTCAGACAAGTGCCTGTTCTTTTCAGACCTCTCCCCTCTTTTCTTCCCAGGTGTTATTCCAGTGACATCCTCTGAACTCACTGCTGTGAATTTTCCCTCTTTTCATGTGACACCTTTGAAGCTAATGGTCTCACCAACCTCGGTGGCAGCTGTACATGGTGGCAGGAACAGCCCGGCTCTTGCCTCCAGCCACCCTATTGCCATTCAGAACCCAAGCTCGGCCATTGTAAACTTCACCTTGCAGCACTTGGGACTAATCTCCCCAAGTGTGCAGGTCTCTGCCAGCCCCGGGCCTGGATCCGGAACCATTCCTGTGTCCCCAAGAATAGAAGCAATTAGTATCGTACCAGAAAATGCAGGCTGTCAGCAAGCAAGGGCCACCAGCTGTGACTCACCAGTCCCGGGCCAGAGCCAACCAAATGGACAATCGGTCCCGGTGACAGGGACACAACAGGTGAGGGTGATTCTGTTTAATTTCATTATTCCTTGAATGAATAGGTTCCAAATGTCTGTATCGCAGGAGACTTGATTTTTCCTTTGTTTGCAGAGGAAGAATGAGAGAGTAAAGCAGTGAAAGCCAACCTTCCTTTCAGATCCCAGAGACTCCCTAAAGAGTCCTTATTACTGGCTTATCCAGAGGGTTGTTTTTTGTTTTTTGGGGTTTTTTTCCTCCCCTTAAGGGCTGGGGAGATGGCTCGGTAGAATAAGCGCATCCCTGGCAAGTGCAAGGGCCTGAGTTCAATCCCCGGTTCCACCCAAAAAAAAAAAAAAAAAAAAAAAACCACCCCTTAAAATAATGGAGAATGTAAAACTTGTTTAGATTTGCGCTACCCGTTTTCAGGATGTGCTAGACGTGTTCATCCAACCTGACCTCCCAAGTCTGCTAGGGCTTGCATATCCCCGTGGTTTTAATTCCTTTCTCCCTTTCTTTTAATCAGCCTGTTCCCGTGACACCCAAAGGGTCACAATTAGTGGCCGAAAGTTTCTTCCGTACCCCAAGTGGACCAATCAAACCAACTGGCACATCCTGCATGGATTTCGATGGTGCTAACAAAACCTCCTTTGGGACCCTCTTTGTCCCACAGCGAAAACTGGAAGTTTCAACAGAGGATGTCCACTAATTGACAGATGTCGGTGTAATTTAATTTTCTAAAGACTTATTTAATAGAGAAGATGTACACAGACTGATTTGGAGAACACAAGCTTCAAAACTACTGTAAATATGTTGGATGTTTACACGATATCAAAGCAGATACTTGTTTTTGTCAAGGCTGTGTTCAGCCTTTCAGTCAAAATAAAACATTGGCCTAAGGTCTATTAACTTCTGGGGCAAAATGATTCATCATTTCAACTCTGCCTATACTATTATGCAAGTAACTGTATTAAAGTTTACTTCAAGTAAATATGTTTGGTATGCTTAACACAGCATTCTTTTTCAACTTTTTGCACAAAGAAAATGCTGTGTGGTGTATAATGTATTTTTACATAGGGATATCTATATTTTTTGTAATTTTTTTAATCTGTTGATGTTGCAGTCTTTCTGTAGAGTTTGTGACAACCCTCAATCAAGTCTGTGGAAACAATATTTATAAGATGTATTTTTAAATCTTGAATTGTTAAAATTAAAGCTTTTGTAAAATGTAGTTAACATTTTCATTCGGCCCCTTAAGACATCATGGGAAGGAAATTAAAATTTAATGTCAGAGACAGATTCTTGGTAGCGAGAGGGTGTCTTGGGTTCCCTTAGATACACAGCGCATAGGACGTTTCTACATTCTTCCCTTCTTGGGACCCTCAGTACAGCCGCACACAATAGGCATTGCTTTGGCTAAGCCGTGGCTCTGCCAAACGCAAACTCTTGTCCCCATCTGCATTGCAGCCACCCTGGGAGGTTGGTAGAAAGCAGGGGCCGTGATGCTCCCTGCCCTGCTCTGGCACAATTAGCCCCTGTGCCAGCCCCCTGCAGTCTAGTGGCACCCTGCTGCCAGGCCTCCTACCTGAAGATGCCCAGCTCCAAGACAACAGTAAAGCTCATCTCCTCTGCTCTAAGGACCAGCACGCTCCACCACCATGAGCTCTGAGAGAAAAAATGAGCTGTTTGTTGTGTTGTAAAATGTGCCTGTCCTTCATATCCCTGTGACAAATTATGTCTTAAGAGTTGACAAGAGCTGTCCCAGGTCACAGTCTTAACAAGTTCACCATAATACCTGTTTCTAGAATGCTACACATTTTAATCACACCATCTACAGACCAGGACTGTGATGTCCCTGTGACTGGCATCAAAGTAGTAAGTCTGTAGTTATGCTGTTAGTGTCCACTGGGCTTCCTTATCCATTAGCCATGTGCCTCTGTTTCAATTTATTTTTTTTTCTGGTACGGGGGACTGAACCCAGGACCTTGTGCTTGTCAGGCAGGTTCTTATGCTGCTGGGCTATCTCCCCAGCATCCACCTGCCTCTGGATGCAACCTGACAATGCTAGGAGGTCCCAAGCACATTGCTCTGGGGATGATTTGAACATTCATAAGGTCACCCCTTTCAAATATACATGTTTTGCTTATACCAAGTACAACTAAAAGCAGATCTTCACATTTACCTAGAGACTTCTCTATCACTGGAGAATGAATGTGAGCAATTTCCTCTGAAGTACCTTTGCCTTTGTTTTTATCCCACTTGAAGAGCACACAAATACTCCCTGATAAATCACGAAGTGGCTTCTGTCTTTTAGGATGTTATAAAACAGTTGAGAAATAGGTGAATAAATAAAGCGAAGAGAAGGTATAAAAATTCCAATAAAGAGAAGCTGTAATTCTCTACAGACTCCTAGATTGAATGGCATACACGAAACAGCAAGAGAAAGACCGACCCAGGGCTCCTTCCAAGCCCCTGCTCTATTGCAGAACTAAAGAGGGAGGAGGCCAGGGCTCTGTTCTCCCCTCAACAATTCTGTGCAGGAAGAACCTCCCCAAGGAAACCATATGCATAGGAGAAAGACGTCAGCGCTGGGGACTGCCCCGCCCAGCACTGCCACTGCCAGGGTTTCAGTGTATCCCTCAATCCCCACCTCCTGGTGTTCACATCCTGAGTGACACCTTCCCTGGAGTGGGTGAGATGTGTCACTTGCTTCTAGTCAGGATACAGTAGAGATGGCGGAGTGCACGTGACTGTAGCTGTGGCTGTATAATTACACTGGGTCATTGCACCTGTCTCACTGCAGTTTTTCTCTCTTGTGGGTTTTGAGGAATCTAAGAAACCATGGCAGGGCGCCTAACCTTGCAAGGCGTCGTGGGCAGCCTTTTGGAGCTGAGGCGGCCCGCGGCCAATGACCAGCAAGAAATAGAATGCCCAGCCCTACCTGTCACTGCAAGGAACTGAACTTGGCCAACAACTTGAGCCACTGTGGAACAGATCCTTCTTCAATCCAGCCTCAGACGAGATCACAGCCGCAACTGCCACCTCAGCTGCAGCCTTCTGAGTCATTAAGTAGGAGCTCACCTAAGCCATTTCCAGAGCCCTGAAAGCTGTGAAGTGATAAATGCGTGCTGTCTGAAGATCCGATTTCAGGGAATACTGTCTAGCAGCATAGATAACAAACACAACACATAACCCACCAGTTTTCAAAACTGTCTTTTTCCGTTTGTCCTGTCATTGTTCATTGGTTTCATAGGCATTTATAGGATGACACTTGGGAAGTGGTAACCCAAAGGCTCTAACAGAATGCTGCTCATGTTTATGGCTAGAAGTATCTTTTCTTTTGTTTCTTTTTTTTTTTTTTTTTTTTTTTTTTTACAAGTCCAGAGATATTGAATCAC